ACAGCTCCTTCTTTTCTTTACCAGCATCCTGTGCTGCTGACAGAAGCACCCCTAAACCCACGCAAGAACAGAGAGCGTGCTGCTGAGGTGTTTTTTGAGACCTTCAATGTGCCGGCACTATTCATCTCCATGCAAGCTGTGCTTAGCCTGTAAGTGTTTCTTGTCTTTGATCTGTGCTCCTGAAATGTTGCCATGAAATCTACTTTTAACCGAAAAAAAACCCCACCTGTGGAAGCCCACACTGGTGGCTGACTTAGCCCCTTGTCAGGCAAGAGCTGAATCTCACTTTTAGTTTCTGTAATAAAGATTTTACAGGAATTTGCTGAATTATGATGAGAACTACTGGGGAGGAGGAGGTTAGCCCCTGTTCATGTGAAACCTCTGCTCGCTGAGTAGAGCCTGCATGTGCTGCATGCTTGGGGTCACTCCGAATTGCTTGTTCTGACTTGATTGTTTCCCCTTTGCTAGCTACGCCACTGGGAGGACTACAGGAGTGGTGCTGGACTCTGGGGATGGCGTTACCCATGCAGTTCCCATCTATGAAGGCTTTGCCATGCCTCACTCCATCATGCGGATTGACATCGCTGGCCGCGACGTCTCCCGCTTCCTGCGTCTCTATCTCCGGAAGGAGGGCTATGACTTCCACACAACCTCTGAGTTTGAGATTGTCAAGACCATCAAGGAGGTGATGCACTGTCTGTTTCTGGCTTTATCCAAGAAGGGACTTCTGCCCAAGGGCAGTCATGACTTGGGGAAGTCTGTTGGGAAGTGCCAGCCTACCTAGCTCCACACCTCATTCCTTTATCCATCAGAGGGAGACACTGCTTGAACAAGGGGTGGTGGACAAGATGACCTCCAGAGGTCCCTTGCAACCTCAGTTATGCTGTGTTCTGGAGACTTACAGTCAAGGTTTTGTCTAATCACTGTTGAGGGGCTGTTAACATATAGATGGAGACAGGCTGGTGATTCAGAATCTGTTTTGCATTGATCTGTGCTGCAGTTTCTCAGGGTCTGATGATACCTTTGACTAGTGTTTGTTTACCCTTCAGGGCAAGGGTCTGTAAAACCCATGGCAGGCAGGCATCACAGGTGGGATATTACAGGTATTTTACTTGATGTGAGCCCAAAAGGTCTTTCCCCAGCACAAAATATTGTTGACATTGGTCTCCCCAAAGGGATCTACAGATTTTGATTGTTAGTGAGAAAAGTATTTTATCAGAGGCATTTGGGTTTACCCTTCTCATCTCCTCCTCTGTGTCTCTGTTTCCTCTCCAGCGTGCCTGCTACCTGTCAATAAACCCCCAGAAGGATGAGACTCTGGAGACCGAGAAGGCTCAGTACTACCTGCCAGATGGAAGCACTATTGAGGTTTGTAAGGATTGCCCTCAGAGGATCCTAATGTGAAGCACAGGGTTTCCAGAATAGCCTTCTGCCTAGTGATGGGAAACTTATTGTGGTGTTAGGGAGGAGGGGATAGTTTTAAAAGACCAGAACCCATCCCAGGCTATTGACTGGGCACTAGAATTCCTAGGGGAAGCAAACATTGTTAGAAACTTCACAACTCCTACTGGAAGTCCTGGATAGGGATGCAGTGCAGCCATGGGGACTGAGGGCAGGCTCTGATCTAGCAAATCTTTATGCAGATTGGGTATGGAGTGTGAGTAGTTATCTGCTCACTGAATTCAGCAGTGGTTTTGTATGTGGCTTTCATCTTGCCTAGAGGAGCACAAACAATTCCTTTGAAGAGTGAGTTAGGAATATTCTTTAAAAGACTGAGCCCACTATAGAATGGTGGAAGGAGAGGAAATACAGGTCTTGCCTCTAGCACCACGGGTGGATCCACTCCCTTTTCTGCCAGTGACCTGCTGTATGGAGCTGAGCAAGTTTCTTCATCTCTTTGATCTGCAAAATGGAAATAGTGCTCTTTCTAGAAGTAGACCAAGCTGGTGTTCACTTGGGAACTAGTGATGCAGCATCAGTGCCCAGGATGCTTCATTGCTCTCAGGTTTCACCTCAGAAAGGCAGGCCCAAACTGTAGATGGTGCACAGAGCCTCACTGCTGTCCCTTCCCCTCTGTGTTAACTTCTCTGCTTGTAGATTGGTGCTGCCCGTTTTCGAGCCCCAGAGCTCCTGTTCCGGCCAGACCTAATAGGGGAGGAATGTGAAGGACTCCATGAGGTGCTTGTTTTTGCCATTCAGAAATCAGACATGGACCTGAGGCGAACACTGTTCTCCAACATCGTGCTGTCTGGAGGCTCCACACTCTTCAAAGGTTCCTGTTCTCTTTCAGTGGGCTGTGACATAACTGATCTCTTGCTTCCTTCTCCTGTGAAACTGCAGAGATAACGTAGATCACCCAACTTGCCCTGGGGGGTGAGGGCTGTGGGAACTCTTCTCTCTCAGGGGGATTACTGTCTATGAGCCCTAATCATACCCTTCTGGGTATGCAGGACACCACTGCCCTTGTATGTCACCTCCTGGGCTTGCAGGGTTTTTACTGTTTTCCTCCTGAGTCAGGACTGAGTAAGTGTTTTCTTTCCTGCTGCTGTAGTTCAGGATATTTGAGACCAGGTACCTAAAAGGCTCTTGAATCTCCTGAGGTTCCCTTAGGTCTTTGGCGTGTGCAAGGGTTCGACAGTCCTGGTGCTGCATACATGTGTGTCAGCTACACAGAAAGCTTTCTACCCCTCCCCTTAGTGCTCAGGTAGTCCCCATTGACTTAAAAATGTCCCCTGCCAGAACCTGTTGACCTGTTAATCGCAGATGGACATCTCCAGATAGCTCCTGGTCTTCCCATTTAAACCCTGCTCCCCTGTACACATGGGCTGAAAAATCCTATTTGCTCCTCACAAGTTGCTGCTTAGGGATGGAACCCAGTGTGCTTTGTTTGAAATGGGTCTGCGTGAGATCAGATCCCGTTATGTTGCTGTCTGTGTTCTGTGCCTTTCCAAACTGGTCTGTCTGTGAGATCTGGAGTGGAAAATTTGAGTAGGACTGCATAGGACAAGTCCATATTGTTAGCAGATGGAACCTGGGATTTGGATGAGGGGCTCACACTCCGCACTTTGTCTTGCACAGGCTTTGGTGACAGGCTGTTGAGTGAAGTGAAGAAACTAGCTCCGAAGGACGTCAAAATAAGGGTAGGAGCAATCTCTTTGTGTTTATGCTTCCTGCATATAGTGTTCTGTCACCTTTAAAGAACCATGCTGAGAGTGCAACTGTCGTTTGCTTCAAACCAGAAATGACTTTCCTGAGACAGCCCAGCAGTACTTGCTGTTGCGATGAAAAACTGTTTTCATCACTGAGAAGGTGGCTCCTCTGACAATGTGGCCCCTGTCCAGGATTCTGGACCACAGTGGCTGTTTTAAGGGGTGCTGCTGGGTGTCCCTCTGGTGGGAGAGATCATACCTGTGTTTGTCAGCTGTTAGCCATAGTGGAATAGGGGCAGCATGCCAGGAGGAGCAGTCTGGAGCCTGGGAAGGTGCTGACCGATTCTCTCTTTCTCCCAGATATCAGCTCCTCAGGAGAGATTGTATTCAACGTGGATTGGGTACGTAGTACATGATGGCACATCTTACTGTGGGATGGGGGCTAGGGAGGTACAGCCTGACACACTTGCACTATTGTTCCTTACGTGGTCAGGAGGGTTTGTTCACCTGCACAATGATCTGCAACCAGCAGGTGGTTTGGGAGGGGGAACTGATGGCAGGCTCCAGTGCTGGCACATCTGAGGCCAACAGGAGAGGAAGTGACTGTCCAGAGAGTGTTTCAGTTGTAGATAACTGGAAGCCTCAGCAGCTTTCTGATATGGGGAAGCATTGTGCAATAGAAAGAGCTCACCTCTGCAGAGAGAGTGCTGCCAGCATTGTCTTTTAACCCATACTGTCTCTCCCCAGTGGCTCTATCCTGGCCTCACTGGACACCTTTAAGAAAATGTGGGTTTCGAAAAAAGAATATGAAGAAGACGGAGCTCGTGCCATCCACCGAAAAACCTTCTAGCCCTGGGACCTGTCCTCAGTCTCCTCCGAAGACTCACTTCAGTTCTAAACTCGCTTTTCTGAGTCCGAGTGTCTGAGAGCCGCCTGTGTGTGTGTATGTGCGCCAGCATGCCCCAATGTCACTGAGCAAAGACAACAGCAGCAGGAGGGTTGTATTAGTACTACTAACTTCTTATTTTTTTTTTATTTTACTTCTGTTGGTTTTGTTGTTTTTTTTTTATCATTGGAAAGGGGAAAATACCAATCCGAACGTCTCCAGAATGGCCCATTCCTTGTTCATTTCAGTCCCTTAATTTCTGTATCGCAATCACATTTGTCACTGTAAAACAAAGAAGCAAGCAAAAACAAAGGGAACAGCTTATAGAAACTGCCTGGCAAGCCAGAAGGGAGCCAACCACTGCTTTAGTAAGCCCGACTGCAATGCCTGGATTGTCTGGAAACACAACCAAGGCGCCATAGCAACTTCCTTCTTCAGCAGCGGCTTCACCATCAGTAGGTTTTTGAAGTTGGTTTTAATATATATATAGATTTATTTTTTTTTTTTTTTATTAAGAGAAAGCACATTCTCAACAGTTAAACCCATTTGCCCCCATTGTTTTGGGTGCGTGAGTGCGTGTATGCCTGTGTAACTTCTTAGCCTGATGCGTGAGTCTGCACCGCAGCTGGAGAAGTTGGTGATAGGACTTAGTTTGTATTGCATGGAGTAGAACAAAGCAAACCTAATCAGCTGTCATTGTACTAGACGGTTATTCTCTCGTACCTTGTTTTAAGTACCTTTACTTCTCTGGAAGCAAGTCCCCCAGAATGGGGGTGAAGGCACTTGTGTGTTCCCCCTCAACCTGCCAAGATTTACAGTGCTGAGTTCTCGTGTTCTTTGTAAGAGTGGAGGCTGTTTCCCTCCTTCCTGCCATGTCAGGGCAAAGGGAGCATGTATTCACAGCCAGGCATAACTCCTGTGTACTTCATCCATTCTGGGGCAAAAACAATAATTGGAAAGGTGCATTGTAATGTAAAAATTGCTTTATTTATTGAAATGTCTGAGGATATCTCAAATAACTGACCACAGCACCTGGGAATTACGCTTTGGGTCTTCTTTGAACACCTGATGCCAGCTGTCCCTTGCTCAATGTTAAGGCTGCGTACAGCACACTCGCTTAGTGCAGCAGCCAGCCCTGTGATGCCACCCGGTAACTGCTGTTCTCTATGAGTGCATTGAAGGAGAGGACAATAAACCCTACCAGGACATTGGTGTGAGCAGCAGGTTTGTGAGCAGGACCCTGTCATGCTGGCTGTGTGCCTTTGTTCAGCTGGTGGCTGCTTTGCTTCTACTGCTCTACAGGCAAGGGCAGGGCTACGGACCCGCTTGCGTTGGGGTGTGCCACTGCTTCCCCTTCAGGTTTGTCTTCTGCGTTATTTGGTGCTCTTTTCTTTCTGTTGCTTTTCTGCAGTACGTGGCAGTAGCAGTGGAGCTGGAGTTGCTCGGTGGCAGTTCCTCCCTGTTCCCCTCCATCCTGTTCATTGCCATGCATCACCTTGGGGTCACTTGCTCTCGAGTGCAGAGCTGGGGTAGGAGCTACAGGGCTGCTGCAGAGGAGTCGGAAAGCGGGTGTCTTGTCCCAGCCCAGGTGAATGGGAGCAGCAGCATGTTGCCCGTGTAGGCACCATCGTCCCAGGGCCCACCACTGGGCTCCAGAGGCTGTAGGCAGGCAGGAGTGGTGGTCTCCTTCCAGCTGAAGCCAAGCTGCTTGTTCACTTACCCCTCAGAGCAGACTGTTTTAAGCAAGAACCCGTCAGGTAGAAAAGAACCATCAATGCTCAGCCTTCTGCTGGAAAATCAGTTCCTCTTGCTGGTTTGCTGCAGCATGTGGAGGAGAAGCAGCATCCCCCCCTGTCGGTTCGGTCAGCACGTCCCAGGCAGTGCCAGTGATCTCCTGCTCCCTGCCCCACTGCTGCCCTTGCAGAAGCAGCAGTGCTCCCCTTTGTAACCTGCAGTGACCGGACAGAAAGGTGCCGTCTTCGATCCAGCATTCGTTTGATCTGCCTGACTGTTCCCTCGCACAGTGTCCAAACCATGTTGCCTGGTGGTGCCCAGCATACTTAAATAAAGTCATTCATATACAACCCTCAAGCCTCCTGGCCTCATCTTCCCACACGTGCAGTGGTAAGGAGGTAACCCATGTTTTTCTCGACTGAAGGTTTGCTGCTGCCTGATCTCAGCCAGAAAACACCATCTCTTGTCTGGGATCACATTCCTGGCCTGGCTTTTGGGCTGAGGGGAGGAGGCGCCTGGGCTTCAGCTGTGATGTACACTGGTGATGTCCAAAGCTGCTCTACTCCCCAGCAACCATTATCCTCAAGACCTCAGTTTTTCACTGTGGAGAGGCCAAGGGCTGGTGCAGTTATGCCCCTTTTCTCCCACACAATCACAGCCAGGTGCCATCCACCCACTGGGAAAAAAACACCAAGCAGTACAGAAAAAGATTACTTTATGAAATGAAGAATCATTCCCAAACCTTGTGGTAAGTTGCACATAATGGAACACCAAGAGCTACAGAAGCCTCACAGCAGGAACCGTCTTGGTCTGAGACAGAAGGCAGCCGTGTCCTGAGGCAGGATGGCAGGTTTGTGGGTAACCTGAGGGAACCTGGCACTAACCAGCACATCCCTATGCATACACCTTCAGATACTGCCTGCACGCCCCTCCTGCTGCAGGCGCGCATAGGGCAGAGCTCTGCTTTGGCACATCACTTCTGCCTACCCCCAAATGCAATGCAGGGACTGGAGAGACACTCCCTGACCTCAGGGATCCCTTTGGTGACTACATCCCCCCAGCCAAAACCACCTGCTCTCCTCCGGTGCATGGCTTGGCAGCCATGGATCTGGTCACACTCTGGGGCACCGTTTCAAATGGAGACCATCTGAGATGTCTCTCCTCACAGGGGTAAAATCCCAGCCCTGTGCCAGCCCAGCCTTCTCAGAAAGGCTCCAAGGAGGAATCGAAGGCACAAAAGCAAGTCCTGGTTTCTCCTCCAGGCTGTGCTCTCCCCCTGTGAGAGGGGAAGGTGCCAGGCTGCCTCACTGTCACCTGGGAGGGCCCTGGGCAGAGGCACTTCCATGGCTGGGTTAGGGGCTGGTTCTCTGACCTCAGCCCCACAGTCCCTGCCAGAGTGGGAGGGGGCTCTCAGCTGTGTGACACTGTGCTAAGACAGGGCTGTGGAGAGGAGAGGAGGGATAAACACAGGCAGCAGGATGCCAAATGCCATGTTACAGCTCAAGGCTCCAAGCCCAGTGCCTTTCCCAGCCTGCAACAACTCCCTCTGCAAGGCTACGAAGGAGGGAACTTGGCATAAAACAAGCGCAGCCAGCAGACCCTGGCTGTGCAGGGTATTGTCCTGGGAACAAGAAATGCCTTAGTGGATTTGGTCCAAGAACTGCAGCACTATGTGTGAGAGGTTATAGCATCTACTGGGAAAGGCCTTCAGGGTCCTCTCATCCCTGCTCCTGCTGTCACTCCCTCAGTCACTTGGTCCCTCAGGAGCCTCCTGCTCCACTCCCCAAAGTTGCAGGGCTCTAGCAAGGAAGGACTGACTCCCTGTGCAGTTCTCTCGCTCTGCCACAGGCCGTGGCTCCCTGTGGTTCTCTGTCTCTAGCACACACTGCAACCCAGCACCTCCTCGCTTCTTCCTGCAACAGGTCAGGATAAAATGCTCTTGCTCCTGTGGTCAAGTGATCTACCCCAGGCCCCTCATGCTGAACTTCTCTGCCTTCCCCAGTGGCCACCTCTTGGAATGGATAAAGATTGGCATTACAGCATTTCACAGTGGAGCTGTAAACATTGGGCGGTCTCAGCCCACCAGCCTGCACCCAGGCGTACCCTGTGGGCTTGGGCACCCCTAGATCGTTTTGACCTCTGGTGCTTGGCCTTGGGTCAGGTTCTGGCGCTGAGCCTTCACCATCTGCAGACGCTTCCCATGCAAGCTGAACTGAGACCAGCTGAGGAGCTGCAGCAGTGCACATGTGATGGGTACGAAGATAAGGAGGTAAAAGCAGCCTTGGCGAAGCGTTGGCTCCAGGAATGCAGGAGACTCCAGCTTCGGCTGGGCACTCACCACGTTGCTCAAGGGGTTGCGCTGGAAGATGTCGTAACCTGGTGTCAGAGTAGAGTTTGTGAGACTGGGATCAGTGGGGATAGACCTTTGTCACCCCAAGTGACCGGCTTCAGAGATGCAGAGACCAGACACAGCCCTCTGCACCCATACAGGACATAGTGGAGGACATTGAACTCACAAGGTCTGCCCTTTCCTGCCCCACTGCCTTCTTTGGGAGCACCCCTACCTGTGTATGCAGAGAGCAGCCAGGTGCCAATCAGAGGGGCAAAGGTCTGGCCAGGCTTGGTGACCAGAGCCACCATCCCAAAGAGCAGCGCTGAGGCCGCCTGCTTCCTGCGATTCAGGACTAGATCCTCATCCACCAAGTCGGTGACCACCAGGTTGAGCAACTTACAGGTCCCTTCTGTGAACACCCGGTTGCTGCAGAACAACAGACAAAGCACTTTGTAGGGACATCAAGAAATTATGGGAGCAAGTGAGATCAGAGGAAACAGGAAGAGGATGAGAAAGGTTCCCCCACGCTTAAGAATTTCAGAAGCCCTGGTTAGAGGAGGGGAACACTGCTACTAACAAGCCTTGTGTACCCTGCAGGGATGCCCTGGATCAGTCCTGACCTGCCACACAGACAGGCCTGGGAATGGGACACTCTGGGGACAAGCTCAGGGCTATCATTGCAGGGAGGCTGCAGAGGAGAGGAGCTCAGCTCAGCAGCTGGGAAAGGCTGCTGCAGGCTGCCCCCACCCCTGCTGGGTCTCTGTCCCCCCTCACCCTGCTGCAGGCACAGCAAGAGGATTCTGCAGTGACCCATCCCACACTCGGGTGCTGTCAGAGCTGGGAGCCACGTGGCTTCTGTGTGACCCAGGCTCCTCTCCCCAAGATAGAAACAAGTCATTTTCCTCCCCAGGTGGCAGAGAGCAGGGGAAGGGAGTGCTGCCTACCTGGCAATGAAGATGCAGAGCAGATACACCTGATCTGGTCCTGCCAGGAGCATGACAATGCTGAGAGCCAGCTTCAGGAAGAAGAGTCCTCGCACCACAGCATAAACCCCATAGCGGCGGCAGAGGGACAGGAAGTAGAGGTTGTTGAGGTGGGGGGCAATGTAGGAAACACCTGAGCAGAGACAGAGGCACAAATAGCTTGAGGGAGTTTCAGTATCTACCATGCCCCTAGGACGGATACTGGAAGAGAACAGGGCTGCTGTCATCAGCCCATGTGTGTTGTAGGACACATGGTACAGAACAGCCCCAGGCACACACAGAAGGCTGCAGCAGATTTACCCAGTGGCTCTGTGGCACAACACACATGCACTTCCTACAGAGGGAAGCATTCTTCCAGTAACTGCCCAGGCAAGAAAGAAGAAAAGACTTGCCCAGTGTCACACAGGAGCTGGGAACAGAAATGAGAGGGACAGGACACTGTGACCAGTCCTGATTCACACAGAACCCTCCCATGGTACCCCTGGTAACTCTAGGACCAATGCCCACATATTTGTGGCAGCCTGGAAATGGTCCAGGCCACAGAGCTAAAGGGATTAGATCCAGGGCTGTGTTCCCTGCTGCATCCCTGGAACACCCTCTGCAGCCACTAATGCTCAGAACACTTCCTTTGTGGAGTTTAGGCCAGAGTCCAGCATGCTGGGCTCCTCATCACTAGAAAAGGCTTCAGGTTACTTCTGTGCTCATGAAGAACAACTCAGAGGTCCCAGGGAAGCATGTGGGACACGTGCACATGTGAATCTTACAGCCCAGAGACCTGCATGTGAGTTTGGGAAGAGCAAACCCAGGCTTGAGGCAGGTCCTAACCTGGCTGCTCCCTCCAGTCCCACCTAAGACTCACCGAGCAGGAAGGATCCTGTAGAGACAGAGATCTGGTCTGACAGCAGGTGCTCCAGGAACAGAGGGAAGAAGTTGCTGTTAAAGTGGCAGTGAAAAACCTGTGAAGGCAGCATGCAGATGAGCTGGTCAGCAGGAGCAGCAGTTAGAGAGCAGAAAAAGTTAACAGCCTTCTGGGTTCTGTTATCCTGGGAGCCCTGTGCCAAGAGACCATGCAGGGTGGGCCTGTAGAACTTCAGCAGAGCGAAAGCTTGGCTGTGGAGGTTACAACACTGCAGGCTGAGACTGCAAAGCTGCAGCACCACCAGCCATGCCCACTGTTTGATCAGCATTGCTTCCCAGCTGCGGGGGAAAGTCAGGGCAAGGAGGCAGCAGTGGTGACCACAAGGGTTTGGAGAAGACAGTGGCGCAGCAGGAGGGAGGAGGCAGCTGTTAGGAACAGGGTTGAATGCAAAGATGCAGAGCAGCATCAAAAGCCTGCCTGAGGAGAAGTGAGGGATCCCCAGGGAGACAGGGAGCTGTGAGTGCAGCACAAAGCTGGGCAGGCTGCCGGCATTTGGTAGTAATCAGTGAGAGGATGAAGAACAGAAATGGCAAAAGCCAGCTGGGAGGAGGATCCAGCTGGACAATGAGAACAGTGATGTGAGCCTCAGGAAAGGAGAAGGAGACTGCTGACAGCCACGCCAGCAAACTGCACTCCTGAACTCATCCCCACCACGAGCCAGGCCTTGTGCTGCTGCACCCCAGATGGGCTGTGGTGAGCTCAGCCAGCCCCCATAATGCAGCTTATGCTGCAGAGACAGGAAGCAGCACCTCACAGCTTGCTCAGGAAGTATCCTTGGGTCATAACAGGGAGAGTGGCTACCAGCTGGTGAATCAGCTGGCATTGCAGGAGGCTCTAAGAGCAAGTGGGCACTGGAAACCCCTCTGGGGGAGCTCATACACAGCTGAATCACCACCTCAAACAGGCAGAGGCAACACTCAGCCTCTGAATCACACAAATCGCTGCTGCACCCACCTGGATGAGGTTCATGCCAACAAACCAGAGGAAGTTGCGATGCCGGGAGAGCTGCTGCAGATACTCTGCCAGGGTGATTCTCTTCTCCGGAGGGACGGACAGTTTCTCAATGTACAGCCTAGAGGGAGAGATAAAAAAGCAACCATAAATCCCTCGCACCAAGCAGGGGAGAGCCCACAAGCTCTCCCTTTGTAAATGCAGAGCTGTCTCTCAGCTCCCATCCCAATCATCCCTCTCCCTGAGCCAAATCAAAACAATAGAGTCTACACTAATGTTTGCTTATTGCTAGCAAGAACTACAGGCAACATTTCTCTCAGCATTTGTCTTCCAAACTCAAAGTTCAGATACCTGTCCATAGAAGCATCCTCCTTTTATTAGCCATTCCACTACATATATGCCAGACCCCTGTGGTTAGCTCACCTGGCACTTCTCATCAAGATCTGCTGTGTTACTGCAGCATAATGCTGGCAGCTCATAACAAGAGATGACAAGTGAGGCAGCCCAAAGAAAAGCAAGGGAGCTGAACATGGCAAACCAGCTGCATTGTGGCCTTCCAACAGCCCAGGCACTATCAGGTAGCTAAAGCAAGCAAAAGGATAAGAGACATTTGCTTATCCCACTCCAGAGGGAATGGGCACCCAGATGGCCTCATGCTTAAGCAGGAATGCTGTCATGATAAGCTGCTTCTGATATTTTGCCACTCACAGGCCTCACTGGGTGCTCATTTCATGTTCCAAATACTAGATGGCCATACAGCAGGTCAGGGCTCTGACTCCAGTTTGGGCCAGGGGTGTCGTGAGATAGTTCTGTCCTATTTAGGAGCCAGTGTGACAGAGGTGATTCTGAATACTGTATCAACAGACAAGAACCACAGAGGATTAACATAAGTTTGCCTCGTCATACATCTTCCCACAGATTGAGTTTGCTGCAGTGTGTAACAACTCTACGGATCTATGCCAGACCTTGGTCCCTGCTGCAGAACTGGTGACACTTACTCTTTTAGGGTTGATTCCTGGTCCCATTTTGCTTTCCCACCAGACTCAAAGCGCTGGCGGAGCAGCTGCGTGGACAGGGTGAAGCCAACGATGGAGCAGAGGGCCAGCAGGACACAAAATATGCGAAAGGAAAAGAAGTCCTCTTTGTTCCACACTGCGTAGGACGTGAAGACAGAGAGGGAGCCTATGGCACTAAAGAGGGAGCAGTAGAAGTTGAGGCTTGTCCTGTCTTTTGCTGAAACAGCCAGGTCTGCAAGCAAGGCATTGTGATGGAGGTCGACCATGGTGAGGAAGCTGTCATACATGCAAAGGCAAAGAAGGAACTGCAAACCAGGATGAGCCCAGGCAACCCAGAAAGCCAGGAAAGAGATGGCAAAGAGGGGGCCATTGTGGCTTAGTGCTTTGAGTCTCTTCAGAACTACTTCAGGGGAGGAAATCTCTGCTCCAGGCCTGCAACAGAAGACAAAAAACTTTAGACACCTGGACAAAACCCTGCATGACCATGGATTCTCCCTCTCTGAGGGAGTGGTATAAGTGGCATAAGCTTTTGCTTATATAACAAACACCCACATCAAATACCTTCTCAGCTAATGCGAATACACTGAAAAAATGGGTTTAAGAAAGCCAAAAAGCATGAAGGGATATTTTTTCTCCGTGAGATAGTGCTGCACTGTCTGTGCTTTGCACCATGTAAATAATTTCAATGAGCACTTGAAGTTTTCACTATTTCCAGGAAGCTACACCATGATTTTCATTAAAAGCTTGCTGTAAATACATGAGGAATGCTAATGGCCAACAGTGATCCATGATACAGGGAGTTTGGGAATAACTAGCCTCAGGCATTCCAGGTGGAAATAAGTGTCCTTTCACTGTGTCTCCCAAACCATGTACAGACACTCCTCAACACCCCACTAAGAGGTCTGCTTATACAGCAGGGGCTTGGTATTTCAGACACCATATTTTAAGCTCTGCACCACTCATATGATTGTTAAGGGTTAGGGTCACATTTACCACCTAAGTGTGTGACAGCCAGGTCCTGAAATAACATGCAAAGAGTACTGAACATCAGAGATGCCAGGAAAAAGAGGTATTTAAAAGCTCCATGCCTCAGAAACTATTCCCACACCATCATTTTAAAGCTGCCAATTTCACATCATCTCCCCCAGAGACTAAACGACTCCCAAGCCTCTGCTGGAAGCGGGAGTTAACTTACTGCTGTGTGCTAAGGAACACCCGGTCACTCAGCCAGCCAAACAGAGGGTCATTGAGGCTGTTCCAGATCAGAAACACTGTCTAGGAAAGAAAACAGGACAGTGAAACAAAGCACAGGACAGCTCCTGTCAGTTGTGTTACTGAAGCGAGCAGGGTTGAGCTGGCACAGTGAAAAACCAGCAAGAACCATCACAGAACACCTTGCCTGCCTCAAGCCACAGGATGATTCTGCTGTCTGGGGCAACTGCCAGATTTAACACAGCAGGGCCAGTGGTATTCACTGCTTGTGAAAACACCCCAATGACCCCAGAGGAAAGGCAGTCGTAAGAACAGTCTCTGGGTTTTCTATCCCAGCCTGTTCTATCTTCACTAGTGGGAAACCCTGAAAAGTCCAAGCCAGCACTTGGAAGGCTCCCTTGCTCCCTTTCCAAAGGGGAACACTGTTATTGAGTGACAGATCACTGGAACAGGTTGCCCAGGGGGGTTGTGGAGTCTCCTACGTTGGAGATATTCAAGGCCTGCCTGAACAAGTTCCTGTGTGATGTACTCTAGGTTACCCTGCTCTTGCAGGAAGGATGGACTAGATGATCTTTTGAGGTCACTTCCAACCCTTAGGATTCTGTGATTCTGTGATTGCTGCTAATGCTCTTCATTCACACTTCTAAGGGAGAAGCAGGTTTGGTTTCACCATTTCTTACTTAAGAGGGCAGAAGCGTATGGAAAACACTAACCTCTCCAATCCAAAAGGACAGTTTATCAATCTTGTAAACAGAGACAAAAGTGTCCACGTAGTACAGGAGGAACACGTTGTGCAAAATGGAAACAAACAGCGACAGGGACCCATAGATCACTGCAGTGGGCAAATGGAAAATACAAGCCACGAGTCGCAACCCCATGTTGGTGCAGTCAGCATTCAGCTCCCTGGATCACCTCCATTTCAGATGGGATGTCTTATCCCAACACTTGCAACATCTTTGTTGGGGCCAATCCATTGTTGCTCCTACAGGAAAATAAAATTCAATTAAACCAGGTTCAATTTCTTTAAATGAATTAACAGTTGAATCAAATTAACTGGTCAGTCTTTGCCTGCAGAGATCAGAATTCATATTGCCTTGAGGAGCTGTTCAAAAGTGGATTAGAGGGGATTTAAGAGACTAAAAGCTGTCTGCTCCACTAAAGCTGTTTCACTAAGCAGAGGCCTGGCTGTGGGCTCCTAGAGGTACAAGTGTCTCCTCATGACCAGGCTGCCCTGTCCTTTACCCTGTGATGTTCTTCCTCATCTCACAAGTAGCCAATTAGCTCTTTCCAGCTCTTCACATGAGGAATCAAGCTACAGAGTTGCAAACAACAAAGCAGCCTTTAGAAAACACACCTCGTCACTGACAGTTTTAGGTACCAGGGTACATTTTTAGCCACATAAAAATGCCAACAGCTATGATGTAACCTCACGCACATGCTGCTTTCCCCAGGCAGTCACAGCTGACTGCAAATGGGCTGACTCAGGAGATATTTACGGCAAGCAGTGTTGCTGCTTTGTGGCATGAAGAGACACAACCAGAACATGATGGCATGCAGCAGATATGCTGCCATCATGTCATAAAGGCAACCAGCAGCTGTCCAGCTCATCTTAGAGTGGCATGAATTTTAGGATAAGTGTTTGAAATAAAGATGCTTTGGCTGGACAGAAATATATATGGAAATAAAACAAGTGGAAAAGCACAGGTTGATGTACGTTCACAGAAGGCTGAGGTATAAGGGGACTCCTCAGGCTGGCAGTGACTGGAGCTCAGAGCCAGGAGATGGCTCCATCGTTCTCCCACCATGTACTCCCGTGCTTTTCAGACTGAGCTCCCTTTCACACTCAATTTGCTGCAAACCAAAAGCAGAACACAGGCACCTCTTTAGAGGCACTCGTGTATGTGGTGAGGTGTTAAGGGTTCTTAAATCAGTGTAAGCGCCTTCTCCAGCCTGTGCCATCATAAGGAGCCCTGTTCACAGCATACGCACAATGGGTGACAACAAGGTCGCTATCTGAACACTGTCAAAAGCATGATAAAGGGCTGGAAGTCACTCCTATTTCAGCCCTCCAGGGTCTGCATTTACCCAACTCAGATACATGATAGGGACTTCACCACACAGGATAAGAATGAGCACATCAAAAATGGGAAATTCTGCACCAAGTCAGCCTTCTTGGGCTTGCAACATCAGCTGCATCAAGTCCAAGCAGAAGATCAAGGGGAAGGATAAACAGCTGGGTATGAAACCTGATGAAACACCAGTCCCATTCAGCACTTCCCAGAAGCCGTGAGTCTGAGCACTCTAGGCAAGATCAGAAAAGCAAAAATAACCATCTGCTCTGCCTAGCCCAAGGAATTCCTCATAACTAGCTCAGAAGGATTAGGAACAACATTTGTTCCAATCAGTTGCATCACTAGATTGAAACTGCACATAGACTCCACTCACAGCCAAAGCACTAGACCTCAACTGGATCGAACTGCAAAGCCCTTGTGGAGCTAAGCCACCATTCCACATCCCCACTATGCCAAAACCCACGGCCAGATAAAAGGAAGACACTGCTTGGAGGGGAATTCAGCCAGACAATGAACTTTTATAGGTGTAATTAAAGACAGACAAGCCTCAAGGGGAAATTGCATTTTATATGGTCATGAATAGCACAGGAGTCAAGAATCTGTGATGTGTAAAGATAAAGAAGAAGGGAGAGTGAAGCCAACTAACCCATCGATAAGTCCTCTCTCTCACCAAGAGCCTTCTGCAGACAACTGGCTCAATGGCAGATGAAGCCAGCAGTGTTGGGCAATTCATGAACAGGATGAAGAACAAGCAGACAGCATCAATCTGCACAATATGAAACTGCAGTGTATCCAGACCTTACCGTGTATATCTAACCTCAATACAAATTTCCTGAGCATACATATGAGGGAGAACAAAGAAGAGCAACTGAAGTGATTAAGGGACTGAGGCAGCTGCCTGCTGAGGAAAGACTAAGCAGCTGGGACTCTTCAGGTGGACAGGAAAGGCCAAAGGGGGACACGACCAAGGTCTATGTCCCATGTGCAGTGGATATGGTGAAGGTGGAAGTGCTGCATGCCAGGACGCAAGAACTGGGAGCACACACTGTAACCAACAGAACCAGTTTAAAGCACACAAAAACACCTGGCAGGTAGCAAACATCTGACATTGCTGCCAAAGCAGGTTCAAAGGATTGGACAATTTAATGGAAAACAGCTGCATAACGACAGCTACTAAAGGGAACAGGCAGGGAAATCCCCTCCAGCATCCTGAATCCGAGGGCTACGCAAACTAGAGGCAGACAAGTTGAAAGGCCACAGGCAACGGCCAAGCTCACTTGCTCTCCTCATAAACAGCATCTCCTGCTGTTGTGGGGCAGAACATGGGGTGAGATAGACCAGTGGTGTGATCCACAAGGGCAATTCTTAACCTGACTCTGCTCCCCAAATCCTGTTTGGAAGCAAAGCCTGCTTAAGGTCCTTAGTGCTGCACTTCACACTGTATCCACCCAAATGATGCTTCACTAAGCACATGTTGCACAAACCACAGCTGCTGAAGTTTACAGAGACACCTCATTTTGAATGTTTAAAGAATGTGAAGTTGCACTTCCTCTTCTTCTTCTCCCTCATCACTCCCTCACAGATGTGCAACCCCTCCAGCCAGCTGACATTTGTAAGTGATTTCACTTTGCTGGGATAGCTGTTAAGTCATTTTATATATATTTCCCCCCTCCCCATCTGCAAATGTGCAGATGAAACGAAACAAATCATAGTTGTCTGTAAAAAGTATGATTTTGCTTCTACATCCAAAGCACTGTGTTATTTAAGCTTGCCATACTGGTATTTTCATAACCTTTTCCTTGGGATGGAGAATTACTCATGGAGTATGTCAGAACTTTTCAACATTAGGCTTTTAAGCAGTAATGGGCAAAGGAGCTGCAGGAGGGAATAGCTATCATTCATTCACACTGAACTTCTAAGGCACAGTCATAAAGCAGCAAGCTTGTAAATTAGAAAGCAACTAGCCTTTATTTGAGAACCTTCCACCTCCGCATCTGACATCTGGCTCCTGCCAGTGATGTTTGCAGATGTTATCTTTTTGAGAAGGATGTTTGAATACTGGCTACCAGGAAAGAGCCGGTTTGAGTGCTGGCATATGGTGGCTGGAAACACATCACCATTTGGGGCTCGAGCATCTGCTCTAACTTCCTCGCCAGCTCACAGCTGGATTCACAAGTCATTGCATCCCATGGCAATTCGGCAACCCTTTGGCCTTGCAACAAGGCTGAGCTCCAGCCTTCCACAGCTGAAGTCAGTTGTACTGAGTTAGCAGCAGAGCTTTGTATGTGACTCTTGGCTCAAGCCTGTCTTAAGCAGGGCCAGATGATTCCAATATGCTGAAGCTGCCACTCAGGAACCTGATACAGTCATCTACAAACCTGACCACAGTAACAGGATGACCTTCCCATTCATTCCCCACTATGTGGGTAATGCAGGCTGGAATATCCCAAGTAATACTTCATGATACGTCTGTGCTTGCTCAAGCTGTCAATACACTGCCTCAGCTGCGTATTCTGGATTTTGTGTGGCTCACTAGCTGAAGCAGAGAGACAGACAAATATACCAGCTCTGCATCTCTGCATCTGCAACACAATAAATCCACCAGCTGGATAAGCAACCCAAGAAGTGACACTATTTCCAGACAGTCAGCATGACCACACAGGACTGGGGTGCTGACACTCCAGCTCCATGCACAGGCAAGCTGGGCTGGAGCTGCACTCATGGAACAGCTGATACTGTGACCTGTCCCAGCACAGTGCCTGATGCTGGGCACATCAATTCCTCCCAGATTGTGTAAGCCACATTTTCAGCCAGAGGAAACAGTCACAGATGTCTTCATCTGGTCAGGCTTATCCAGCAGTGACAAGTTTCGTGAGCACAGACCAGGTTCAGCACACTCCTGCCCAAACTGCACATGGTACCTCCAAAGCGCAGATACCTCACCCCATGGAACTACTTAGACTCTGGCAGGACGGTGTTCAGTAAGAAGGCACATCCCTCCACAGAGCTATTTCACAATGAAACTGAAAGTTTCATTCCCACATTGGTTCCTGCAAATGGTCCCTTCATTTGGACCAAAAACAGTGTCTCAAAATCCTATACCTATCCCAGGAAAGCTGCGACTTAAATGCGTACTGCACAAAATTTAGGCTCCTCTGACCAAACTTTGACCCTGTGCACCCTCTTAGAGATAAATATATTTCCAAGACTCTCAGTTTCTCCATGTACTACTTCTGAAAACCTAACACCACGTTTCTTCAAATATTCCACTAGAGATCCTTGATGGAACACCAAACACACGTCCCACATGAAACATTAACAAACTCCTTAACAGCAGACCAGTATCTGAATGGAAAAGCAATGAAGCCTTTGAAAACCTGATACCACCAGGATCAGACAAGGAAACAGACCACTTCGAAGAGGCCATGAGGGTGTTTCCCAGTACTGTTTACCAATTCAACAATCACAGATGCCTCCATATCATGAGAGGTTTGGTAACACCCTTCTTATTCCAGGCAATCATGTGTTTCCATCAGGTTCTTCCACCACTCCTGCAGAGCTCATACACATAAACTGACCTGTCACACAAATGACACTTAACATCTTAAGCCAGCTGGTAGTTTGTGCAGAGCTGTGTTCCAGCAGAGCAATCTCATTAAATCAGATCTCATTCCCTAATGAGATTATGAGGTTCATTAATAGAGGTAAATGTGTAGATCTCCTAGTCCTGGAACTTGGTAAGGCATTTAACACCACATCGCATCCCTTTTTTTAACAATTCATTGTTTTACAGTGTAAGGAAAGTGTGTTGGATGTATTAAAAACTGTTTCCCCATGATATTACTGTCATTACAAGCTCTAATCCTGTAGCAGACTTCACAGAACTGGTACAGGAACCAATGCCAGGTAACTCTGGCCTCAAATTATTAATTTGGAAGTAAATATGAAACCCGGACTGAAATCATCCTCCAAGACTGGAATCACAGAAGCTAGAAGACAGGATTACTGCACAGATACTGCCTGTCCTTGTTAAGACTCAATAGGAAGCACCAGCTGACAAGAACTTTTTAGCACTGTGGCCAAGTGCAGCAACCAGGAGTTTCTACTACACATCTCCATCACCTCATCAGGGAGATTGATCACCTCTGCAAACCATCCAAAGCCACAGTCCCCTCCAGTGCCCCAGCTGCAGCCACATGCCTCTAAGCAAAGGGCTGAGGAAAGCCCAGCTGCAGAAGCCACCAGAGATCTCTGTCCATTTAGACCTAAAACCCACAGCACCAGATCTCCAGCTAAAGGAGCTGACACCCCATGAGCAGGAAAGGAAAGCAGGGAGCCAGGCGATGCCATACACAGATAGGGATGCCATTTCTTGGGCCACTGAGAGGACAAGCCCAAGCAGTGGTGGCACCGCAGCACCCCATCCGCAAGGCCCTCATGCTGAGGGGAGGTCTAGCAGGGCACAGCCACCTGGTGGTGGGCTCCTGCTCCATGGCGGTGGAGGGCCAGTTTGGGGTTGTTAATGGGAGACGGCAGTCAGAGTCCCGCTTCACACCTCCAGGTACAGCGGGGCAGAGACACTTCTCCTTGCCGGGACGCTGCGAGGAGAGGCAAGAGGGGAGACAGACCCCGGCCGGCTCCACGGCATGGACAGAATGCCTGAGGCCGCTGCACACAGGCACTGACAGCTGGGAGCGAGAGAACACCCCTAGCCCCTATGGTACCGTCCAGAGTAACGGGGGGGATGCACGCACCAGGGCTCTACCAATGCAGGGACGGGGGAAGCCCTCACCCCACACAGACAGCTTCACTACAGCGGGGAAATCCCCACCCCAGCTGGATTGCCCTGCTGCATTGAGGGGGATCTCCCGCATCCCGCTCCGCCAGGGCGGCACTGGAGCAAGGGGGTACACCGCAACCGAGCCTCCTACCTTCGTCCGCTACCGGCGCTGCCCCCGCCGCTCCGCCGCCAGGCGGCACATCCGCGCATGCGCGCCACACGGCACCCCGCCCCGGGGCGGCCTCCGGCCCGACGCCATCTTGTGTCCTGGCAAGTGAAGCGGTCCGTTCCCGGCCGCCATCTTGTGTGAGGGCACAGCGCAGGGAGTTGTCTGCCTCATTTGCATTAGCCCCGCCCTCAGAGCGCAAGCGCTCCGTGAGGTCTGTCCAGCGGGAGCAGGCTGCTCTGCGGCCCATCCGGCTGGCGGGGCGAGGTCGCCATGGAAACGGTGCCGGGCCCGAGGACCAGGCTCCTCGGCCAGGCTGCGGCCACCGGTGCCTATGGGGAGGCGAAGGCCTCGTCCCCGGGGTGCCCCGGAGCCTTCCACCACCTGGAAAGCTCACGGTGCCTGCTGATGGAGGCGGCGGATTTGTGTATTTTCACCTGGAACATCTCGCACTGCTCCCAGAGAGCCTCTAAAGCACTGAGTGGGGATGAAACAACAAGCATGGCAGCTGGGGGCCTTCCCATAATCATCAAATACTTGTCTCTGGCCTTAAGTAGCAGATATTTATACTTTTCTCCAAAGACTCACATTACATCCCATGTTGTTCAGAACACAGAGACTGTAGTTGTCCTTTATTACTTAAAGATCTCTCTTTGGACCTTTTGTTCAAGCAACTCCTGTTAGAATCATAGAATTACAAAATCAGCTAGGTTGGAAAAGACCTCTAAGAGCATCAAGTCCAACCATTACCCCAGGACTGCCAAGATCGCCACTAAACCATGTTACCAAGGGCCTCATCTACACAGTTGTTGCTGCTTTCAGCATCCACATCACCATATACTCTCACTGCAATGCCTGCTACCACCCAACTATTCACAAGCTTCACCAGAGGAAATGAATGCAAAAGCCAACTGCTATATTCAGAGAGGTATCATTGCATCCTACTACTTCCCAATGATTCTATGTATTACACTCACCGTTGGCTTCCTGAACAGGGAATTTTTATAAATAGAAGCCAAGCAATTAACTGCAGTCAACAGAGTTTGCAATTAAGGAGTGATTTGTAGGTATTTAGCTATTGAGATCACCTGCAGCAGAGCATAGCATTAAGCATCCTCAGGGAGTGCACTCCACGCAGCAGTTGTGCTGAGTGGTGATGCACTGGCCCTGCAGCCCCAGTCCTCCTTGTCAAACCTGTATGGGGATTTGTACTGCGAAGGCCCACGACAGCACAGGTGCTTATAATAGTGCTGATGGGAGCCATTTGTATGGCTTCTTGTTTAATTACAGCCTACTGAATGAGCAGTAAGTACAAATACCTCCAGTGTAGGCACCTGTAGCTGAATATGAGCAAAGGGTGTGTGGGGGTAAAACAGAGAAGAAGGAGGGCTCATCACTGTAGTGTTTAGTGGTGGGCTGTTTTCTATGCTATTCAGACTGCAACTTCAGAATTTGCAGTTCTGTTGCTGATGGTGTTTTACTGCTTTGGGAAAGACCCTGAAATTTTGGTGAGTGTTTTTGAGGGTTTTCTGTGCTGACTTTACCTGTTCCTTTATCTGTATTTTCTTACCCTTGTTATGCCTGAGCTTTGCTGTTCAAGGACTTTGTTTTGTTTATTCCCTAAGGCATCTAGCTAGCTGAAGCATGTACCTTGTGTTAGCTTTAGTAGTCCTTACAGGTAGCTAGGGTTAAAGCTCCTTATCTGAGCACATAATGTAATTGCAGAAGGAATGAGCTTTCTGTTGCCTTCCTTAGGTACAAGGGCATGTTTAGGCAGGTATTGCAACCCTGGTTACTACAGGAAAACTTCTGCAAGGTGCAGTGTGGTATTTTGGTGCATCTCCTAGCTCTGTACGTGTCATTAAGGTAGGTCAGTGAAAGGGGACTGCGGAAAGCAAGCTGCCTTCTGCATGCTGCTGTTTCTTGCTCCTTGGTTAAGTGAAGGCATCATCTTGGTTGGTTTTTCTCAGGATGTGAGTACACACGCACCAAGTAAATGCCTCTCTCTGTTTTCTGTGCTTGTGACTAAAGACTGGTCTCTGTTGCAATGTTTTATCAGTTAGAATGGCAAAACCAGTACTAGTGCTAGCTTAAATGTCTGCAGTAATAGCAGTGTGCGACTGATGTATTCTACACTTTGCTTGGATTCTTGTGAACAGAAGTGCTTAAATCTGTCTGGAGGTGATGCCTTTCACCCCAGCACATGGGCTGTTGTACCTAATAGATGCAAGTAGAGTAGCATAACTTGGCTGGGCCTTGATTCATGCTAGTGCTTTAGCTTGTAACTTATCTAGAAAGATACTAATGTAAATTGTTATTGTTGGCTGGTGGTAGGCTTTAAACACTTTAGTTTGGAAAAGTTGACATAGAAGGGCTTCTTTGAGTGATTGCCGCTTTGGAAGCAGAAGGTTGCCTTTTGATTCCCATTAAAACAATCAATGATGTTACTTGCAAGCTATGTTCTGTATTGTCTAAAGACCATAACAGAAGGTAGCTGGATTTTTTTCATGAAACAAATGTATTAGAGTTGTAGATCAGCAGATGCTGCAGCTGTTTGCCTTGGGGGATGCGGTAAGAGCAGTATTTTCATGGGTAATTCTAGTTCCGATGCTTGAACTTGAGCTAGAAATAGTGTGCTGCTGTTGTAACGGAAGGCTTTTTTATACACTGAAGTGATGATATGTAACACAAGCCTAAAATCTGGATAATCTGTTTCCTGCCCTATCCTACTGTTCGGGGTGTTGATCCCATGGGAAGATGTAGTACAAATGCATAAAAAGCTATGCCTTTCTGGCTTCTAAACACACTTTCTCAATGCTGGATGCGCAGGAATGTGGGTTCAAGTGTATTTCAAACACAAGTAGTTAAGAAGCAAATGGTTTGTTGCACTGGATGCTGGTCTGTTCACAGAGGAAACCCACTGTGGAGAGCCAGGCTGTGTAACCAGTTAAGGCCTTTGTAGGACACCAAGAGCACTTCAAGGGCAAAAACCTGTAATCTAGCAGCTGAGGGAATGGGATGCTGTGATAACACAAAACCAGTGTGTAAAATGTTTCTCTGCTGTTGAAACTGTCTCTGTGTGAGATAAGACAGCAGCTGAGGAAACTGGAGCTAGGCAGAGAAATCAAGGCCAAAGTAGAATGCTTTGTCTTGGAGTGTGTAAACTAAATATGTAAACAGGAGGAACTAGAGATCATGGGGGAGACTGAAGAAACTCTTGTAGGGTAGAACCTTGCAAGGCCACCCGCACTGTATCAGTAATATTATGTAAGGCTGAGATTGCCTATGTAACAATACCAGAAATGCCAGACTCTGTAGCAAAACTAAGACCAATAGGGAAGGAGTAATTGGGGTGGATTGCCTATTTAGGAGGAGACTAGTGGAAGGAAGGCAAGAGCATGGCAAAAAAGTGGAACCTGGAATGAAAGAATGAAGGTGGGAGCATCTGACTGCAGGAGCACAAACATCTGTGCATGGTAGTGAAGTCTGAAGCTTGGGATGCTGGAATGATGCTCCTTGGATGAGCTGCTGGACTCTCCATCAGGTCTATGTTGCAAAGATTTGCTGTGGGAAGGTAAAGAGGGGCAGATTTGCACTTGGATACTAAGTGGTGTGGGAGGGAAGGGTGGCACCCCTGTAACTCAATAGCACTTGTGTGTGTTTTGTAAGAGTTGATTAGTAGCTTGGTAGTTGTGTGCAAAGTGATATAAGTAACCAGGAGGTACTAGTGGTGTGGTAATGAAGTTGTTGATCACTTGACTGATGTATTTGTGTGAGTGTCTCATAGAAGTTAGTCCCCTGACTGCTGTCTGAAGGGGATCAGCTGGGCAGAGCTGTTAGTTGGGGTCCAGGAGCTCTTGATTTGGGTTAATTGATACTGAGATCTCTTTGTGTGGATGGGAATGATGGATATGGGATGAACTTCTGAGTGAGAGAGTGGGTCTCTGTGCAGGCTGTTTCAACATGGAAGGGATTACTGGGACTGAATGCTATAAAGTACAGATTAAAATATGCTCAATTAAAGTAGTGTCTGATACAGAGATGTGTCTGAAAAGGGGTTTAGATGAGGAAAAAGATGATAGCTTTTTGGATCCTGAGACACAGGGCATGGAGATTCTAATCTCAGATGAGGAAGACCTCTGATGCAAAGGGTGCCTACAGTGGTTATTAGGAAGATGAGACTGGTGGTGGGAGCTATAATAACGCAGAAGCTGGGCTGTGCTGAAAGCAGGACAAGTCAAGAAAGGAGAAAGCTTGGAGTGTGTCCAGAATCTAGACCTTGGTGCAGCAGCCATCTGGGCCCAGGGAGAGGCTGAAGGGGTGATGGTGTCAGGCAGGGTGGTTTCCAGTGCCCTGCCTGCTGATGCAGTCACCCTGTGGTAACACTCACCATGTCTTATTCTTGGCAGTGCAGCCATTTCAGACCTACTGTGTTATTCAGCAGCTGCAGCGAGAGGAGAAGTAGCTGCTCCAAACCTCTCTGTCACCACTGAGTTGTGTTTTGACTGCTATTTAAGCAGAGTTATGCAGGGGGTGGTTTTTAGATAGTCAAGTGAAGACTTGCTCTGTGATGACTAGGGCTTTTCCTTGTGTTTTGACCTCGTACAGAGTCTAGGCTATTTCACAGACCTTGGAAATAGATGCCAGACCCAAACCGGATTTCAGTGCTTTCTGGGACTGCTGCTTTGAATAGCTGAAACAGATTCACTCCCCCTTCAAAGTGCCTTTATAAGGGGTGACTGACTGTAATACGCATTAACTGCTATTTCTGCAGTTTACAGTGCCAGTTGGAGCTCTTCTCTTTGTGTTGCACTAGTAGAAGCAGGGTGAGGACTGGAGTCTTCTGGATGAAGAAGTTAAAGCCTCCCCCTTGGCTGATGGGGTGTTTATGCAGCAAGAGCTGGGAGTGGTCCCAAGCCCACCTCTTGGAGAGGGAGTTGGTATCTGAGGCCTTCTAGGCTGTCCATCACAAAAGGAGCTCTGGTAACAGCTGTGCTCATGGTATCTTTTCAGTTGGCTTGGGCAGCTGTAAGAATCTCAACACTGAAGTAGTTACTGATGGATAGGTCCCCCCTGTGGTGTGGGGGGAAGTAGGGTCAGATCCCCAGTGTTGCTGGGGAATTCCTCTGACTGAGTGAATGGTGTGCGGAGGGGATGAGGCTGCTTTCAGGCTGCCTTCTACACCAGTTGCTCCACTCAGAGGAGCAAACATGCTGCTTCCTGGCTGAAAAGCCTTATAGAACAGCATTTTTACACTCTACAAAGCCTGCATACTGGTGCCCTGCAGCTTGGGCTGTTCCTGGCTCCTCAGCTGTGTTCAGAGCTTAATCTTTTGCTAGCTTCAGGGATGAATGAGTGAAGGAATTGGTCTGCTCTGGAAACTTGGGCTGCTTATCCTGCTGCCAAAGTGAGGTGTCACCCCTCAGCTGCTGTTCCTGTCCAGCTCCTCACCCTGGGGACAAATGGGGGCCTTACAGCCATCTTCATCTGCTGCTTCGATCCCACCAAAATAACTTCTGTGTTTTCCCTTTTAATAAAAACACAGACCTGTGTGGATTGGTGGGTTTCTCCTGTTTCTACTAATCTCTGCTTTTAATCTCTCTCAAAACCTTTCCACCATGTAGCTTTTGCTGCTCTTCGTGGTGTCATTGCTTTCATTTGAAGTTCCTGCTCTTGTCTGCAAAGCCCTTTTCTTTCTTGTGGGCTGTTTTCAAGCTCCTTTCAGTATTGGTTACCTTTCTTTACATGTTACCACTAGACAGTACAAGGGATGGCAAATAGCCTCACTCCTTTTTCTGAGAAGCAGAGGCTGTGTTCTCCTGCTTTGCCAAACTTTCCATCTACAAATATCTAAGAGGATCAGTGTAAGGAGACACTGGTGTGTAACCAGCTCCTGGTATGCAGTGCCAGCTCTGCCTGCAGGAAGCAGGTTGTTGCTATGTGCACTGTGACATGAATTGTCCACACAAACCTGTGGCCATGGTGGCACTTGAGGTTCAAGTGTGAAGCAGATTGTTCCTCCTGGCCTCCTGCTATGCTATCCCAGTGTGGGAGCTGGCAGGCTGCTGTTCTGGTCCAGGCTGTGCTCTGGGCCACTGGAGAGGCTGGAGGGGTGCAGTGTGTGAGCAGGAGTGTGGCAGAAACTTCATCTCAGCCCACCATGCAGCATCTCTCCCTTTCTTGATGCTGCAAGACCTTGTTTCTTCCAAGAGGTCAACCCTCCCCTTGGATTGTGGCCGACTTTAAAAAATCAAGACCTGTTCTCTGCAGCCTTGGTTGCTACTGCTGGTAATCGGCTACTGCCTTGTGTCACCCTGTTGTACTAGGTATGATGTAGTAATCTCTTGTGGAAGTATTTAACTCTTCAGAGTGCTTTGCTGGAACATTGTGGGTTTGCTTTTGTCTGGGAGATTGCATCAAAAACCTGTGGTGCTGCTTTACCTTGAGAGATCCAAAATGCTTCCATGATTAAGTGGCATTGGTGTGGGAAGCTGCTCCCATACGTAAAGATAAAGTCCTGAAATGACCCAGCTATTGCACTTTCCTTGAATTTCTGTGTTGCTGCCAGGCACGTCTTGCTGAGGGAAAGCATCCCTTTTAGGAAGACAGCCAGTGCCTCTGTCCTAAGGATATTTACTGGCTGGAGAGGATTGAAGCGATTGTGTTGTACTGCATGGCTTTCTGTGCCACTCTCCCACCTCCCCAAGAAGGACTTGGGAATCTTCTCCTGGGTGTCTTTTTCTTAAAGACCTCAAACAGAGCCTGATTTTATGTTGGGAATAGTGGGAATGGAAGTGATAAGGAAAAGTAAGAAACCTCTTTGTGATCTGCTCCCATGTGCTATCTCCAGCTACTTGGATGCTGGATGTGTGTCTGACTCTGGCACTGGAGCTGTGGAAGACAAACCTTAGCTCGATGAGTATGTTCAGTTTTAACCTCTCTCTTCCAAAGCACTCCTGGAAGCTTTTTTTTTTTCCAAGGGAGGCCTTTGCCAGGGCTTTGTCAGAGGGTGACAGTTATGCAGAGCCTGCTCAAAATGGGGAGACTAACTGGAAATAACTCATCATTTCTTCATCCCCTTGGTTAGGGGAAATGTTGCTTTTTCAGTATTTATCCCTGTACCCTTGGGAGTTGCTACAGAGCAGTAGCAACAGATCTGTGGTTTTTGTGGGATGGGGAGAGCAGGGCAGAAGGAAAGATGGAAAGAAGAGTCTGAAAGTTTGGGTGCTGGAACAGTGGAGAGGAAAAGGTGACTTAATGGGATCTCCCTGTTTAGCAGCTGATCACAGGGCAGTGGCATGAGGCAAGAATAGTCTTGGTTGATTATTTGAGTAAAATAAGTGGGAATGTGCTCTTCTGTGGGCCCAATGCTTTTAAAGTTGTGTTGGCTTTCAGTATGCTTCCCAAGGAAGCATCCAAACCATTTCAAGCTGCCAGCCTGACCTGAGGACACAGCTAATGAGTTGCTGCTTCAGGTGGACAGAAGACTTGGTGACACTTCTGAACTGTTGGCCTTGGTGAAAATGATCTCCAGACATAAGATACTTGTATGAAGTTTCACACTTGGATACTGTGGCACACTGTGTATGTTGGTCTGTGCCGTCCTGTAGTCAGGATCGCTTCAATCTCTCTGCCAGAGAATGTGCAGTCTGACATGTACTCAAATATTTACACTTTCCTGTTTTTTGTGGCTCACAGTGGGCTTTGTGCTCCATGACCAGGTAATCAGAAAGCTCCCTGGATTTGAAGCTAGCTTGGGTGACAGTAAAGCTTTACTGCCTTGAGACATGTCCAGCAAACCCATGTTTTTCTAATGCTAGCAAGTAATTTCTGCTGCTTTAGATACTAGAAAAGCCATTAACAGTATTAGGCATTAACTAGTGGTGGATTCACCTGTAGCAAGTGTGTAATTGAGTGGTGAAACAGAATCTGCTCTCTACTTGAGCTATCAAGTGTACTGGCTGGTTTTGTGTTGCAAACATTGCTTGACTGCTCCTTAGCAACTCTGTCTGGGTCAGCTGGCTCTGAAGCATGCTTTTCTGGGCAGATCAAGTATTTTGGGAGCTGTAGTGTCAGCCTCCTTGACTCTCACCAAGACGTGTGAGGAGGGAGAGGCCCTGCCAGATGGCTGGGCATGGGTGAGGGAATTGCTCTGGGGAGAGTCTGAAGTATCATGTTCTCACCAAGCAGAGATGAAGATCTCATTTCAGCTGGCTGTGACCCTCTTCTGAGTTCTCTCCTCTTTATTTGCTGCCTGGCTTCTCATTCAGCTCCAGCCAAGTGGGATTGAACCCTTTTCCAGCAAGGTTAAAACTGCTGGAAAGGCTTGAAGGCAGAGGCTGCCTTGTTTCTTATTGGGTTGGTCTGTTGTTACTCCCCGCTAGCAACCACAGCTCCAGTGCCCAGGCTGGTGAGGCTTGGTTCCCAGGCACAGTGTGCTGCCTGCCCAGCCACCCTTTCAGTCTGTGCCATGAGGGAGCTGGTGTATAGGAATGGATGGCTGTGGCTCTGGGACCAGAGAGGCATTTAGCAGAGCTAAAGCTCTAAGGACTGTTTTGCCCTTTCCTGCTCAGGTGCCAGGCAATGGATATGGTGATGTTTCAGAAGGCATAGCAGAGCTTGAAATTGGAGCAAGGGTAGAAAGTGGATGGTAGCCTGAGGAAACAAGTCAGCCAGGATCTCCTCTTTGGCCCTACAGTTGCTCCTGAAGAGCTGGGGGGATTGATGCTGTTGGATGCTTGCTTCCAAAGCCAGGGCAGCTTCTGGCTGCTGGCACTGGAGAAACAGGAGCAGGTAAAGAGGAAGGAGAGATTTGGGGGATGGACCCTTTCCTTAAGGGGTACCACTAGGTAATGTTAGTGTCTGGGGCTTGTTTTGCTTAAGTATCTGGCTTTTGATGCCTTCTGGCCATCAGATGGCCCTACAGAAGATCACCTTCCTGCCAAACCGTTTTCCCTGAAGCACTGCCTGCTTTCACTTCCCAGTGAGCATTTGACAGGACCAGGCAAGCTGGTACTGGTGCTCTCAAAGCCCTCTACCCCTGTATGCATGGATTTGTCACACTGCAGTTCAGCCCAACGTTGTCTAGCAGGAATTTGCTCCACCTGTGGTCTCCCAAAACCTGCCTTGGGAGTGGAAGCAAGCCTGATGGTTAATATGAATGATAGGCACTGGTGTAATGGTGGGGTAAACAATGTTGTCAGCCTCTGGGAGCAAGAGGCTGCAGCTCTGGAGGGGCAAGGCAGGAGCCTTGTGCCTCCTGCATACCAAAACCTTGTTGTAACACACCTAATACTTCAGAGCAGTGCTGTGCCCTGCAAGCCAGGAGCTGGGATTTGTCCCCTTGTGCTTGTGAAGGTAAGCCTCTCTTGGGTCAATCCTGAGAGATCTGGTGCTTGGGTATGGGGGAGAGCTCAGTGCTGGGGAGCAGCAGGGACTGGGCAGCATCAGGCAGCCAGAGCCCCAGCACAGAGCCAAGGCTTGCCCTGGTGGGTTTGCACTCTCCCTCTGGGGCTGTGAAGTGCTGTCTACACTATGTCTGCTGTCAACACCCTCCTCTGGGGTGATCTGCTTCCAGGGATATGTCTGCACTTCTGTGGTCAGGCATGTGACAATGCTGCCCTGGAGCACTCCCAGCCCTGCTTAATCCTCATCTCATTCCCCCTCTTACCTCTTCAGTTTGCTTCCTCTTGTGGGCCATCCTGCCTGGCTGAGCCACCAGCTTGTTCCCCTTATCTTTTCCCAGTGCAAAATGAAAGCAATTAATAGTAGTGCTTGGGCTGTCTTGGTGCTGGAACCTGAGTGATTAACATGGCCTGTCACCCTTCTGCAACTGCACGGGAGAACTGTGAGCACTGATGCAGCGTGCAACAGCAGATGGTAGATGGACCATCTGTAGCTTTGGAGCAAGAGCTGGTGGTGATCGACTACATGAGAGAACAGCTTCTCCAGGGCTGTCTTAAACAGGCATGAAGCAAGAGGGGCAAGCTGGGCTTGCTTTGTTTCCCCTCAATGGCTGCAATAGCTATGTGCTCTGTACAGACCACTTGCTCTGAAACACAAAGGGTCCATGGAAGTGATCCTGTGGCTCTCGGTAGGGATGCAGGGCTGAACTGGATTAAAAGAGGCACTGAGGGTGGTTTTTAAGAAGATCATTTTATTCCATTTACCCACCTCATGCTGCTATTGACACACAATATCCCCCTGGATTTCTGTGGTGGCTCTGAGCAAGTTAGGCAGGCAAGTTGTTAGGGAGGTAGCTAATGGTGTCCTCTCAATAAAGGTATAATGAGGTGTGCTCAAACAGGGTGCAGTGGAGCTGCAGGAGGCTCAGCTCTCAACCTTTTCTGAGCAGTCAGGCAAATTTAGGAAGAGATGTTTAGGAGCCCTCAAGCCTAGAGAAGAGCCCAGCCCTGTCCTTGCCCAGTGAGTGCCTGAGCTATGCTCTGTTGTAAGCTGGGCTAAATGCAGGAAATATCACAGTACCTGCTCTCCTCCTTCCCAACCTGCTAATGAGCTGGGGAGACCCCAGTTAAATTTGATTTGCCTGGAAGCTGTTTCAGCCTCTACTTTTTTTGTAATGGCTCTAAATGAAGTAGGTTGTAAACTTTTCCTTTCCTCCTGTTTGAGGATGTGATGGTTATGATGGGCTTTGCTGCTAGGCTGCAAGTCTGGTTTAAGGGTACTGGGTACTGCCTGGTCTTGTTTAAATACTCTAGTGCTGTTCTCTTCTGCAGGGTTAGACTTGGAGGTCTGCACCCATGGCAAAAGCAGGCTTGAGCTAGTGCGGATTATGAACCTCAAGGGACAAGAACAACCTCCATTGTGTAGTACCCAGCATTGCTTGTGGCAGGCAGGTTATTAGGGGACTGCCAAATTTCCTGTTAGGCTAGGGGAAAGCACAGAGCTGAGGGATGAGTTTCACCATCTTGGTTAACACTTGCGAGAGGCAAGTGTATAGTTAAGGCTGTAGCAGAAAGAGGCTGAAGGATCTAAAGTGGGGGGTTGAGGGGGAATGGGGACAACAACTTGGTTTAGTTCTGTGCATGGACTTTTCCTGTCTCTGGTAGCAAAGTTTCTTTAAAAAACCCAATGTTATGTACAGCTTTCCTTCCTGCCCTTGGGGAGAGGATAATGAGTCACGGGGAGGACATGGCTTAATGCCCTGGAGGATGCTTGGATTGTCTGGTGAGGGCAGGCTAGGAACAAATTCGGCTGTGGGTCAGAGTTTCTCAAGGTAAATGCACACTTAAATGTGAATGATAAATAGTGAGACTGCAGTGAGATGCTTTTACATGAGAACTTCGTCAGAGGAAATGTAGATGCAGCTGGATTTTGCTTTAGAAACAAAGCAGATGCAGCTCTTGTTTGCTGATTGTGTCGTAGGAGTGCTTTGGGAGGATGGGGAGAGTGGAGCACGGTTGAAGCTTGCTTTTTTTAGTTGAAGATCTTGCTGTCTGGGCAAGGACATGAAGTTACTGCAGCAGGGCTGGGCTGTGTCCTCTTTCCTCTTAGCTGGAAAACAAAACCTCTTTCACTGGTGTTCGCCTTCCCCATTTGTATGCCTGCTCAAGGGTCTCCAGCTTCTTGAAGCCTGTCTTGCTGCTTCCCAGCAGTGCAGATGTGTCACAAGGATGTGGGGCCATCTCTTCTGCCCCCAGTGGTTTCTATGCCAGCTGGTTCCCACTCTTGTAACTGTGAGATCTGGGTGGGTTAAATGATGAGTCCTGCTGAGCAGCTATCGGGCAGTCACTGGCAATAAGGCTCTGCTTGTTCTTGGCATGTTACTGCCCTGCAAGCTGCAGATGCAGGGAGCATCTTTTATTAGTTGGTATCCTTACAGTGCTGCTAAGCGTATCTCCCTATTCAGCCTCGTTCTGGAATGTATATAACCAATGTAAATTGCTTCTCTTCCCCTCACAGCTTTTAAGACTCGGCAACTGTTCTGCAGAAACATCCCTTGTGTAAAACCCCAGCTCCTGTACCATGTACCAGTCTGGCTTTGTGCCACGGGAGTATTACCCAGCCGTGACCCCACCTTCTGCCTTCGCCTACCCACCACTGCGGACTGGGAGAGCAGAAGACATGACCAGCCCTGTGATGTTCCCTCCCATCCACATGCACAGCTTCTACAGCCGACCCATCACCTTTGTGGTGGACCGGAACAGCCACCCTGACTATGAGGGAGGTCAGGTGGAGTATCACCATCTCTATGGTGCCTCCCGTCCCTACTTCCATCCCTACTACGCCTGGCACTTCCCTCCCATGGTCCCTATCCCTCTCTACCATCCCTATGCAAACTACAATCCCTATGCTGCCTACCAGAGGTCAGATCAGTATCGTGATACATGGCCAGAAGGCTTCACAATGAGAGGAGAACTTCAATGGGGGAAGCTTGGAAAGGTGTTTGGACCAAGGAAAGATCTCCCAGCATTTGTGAAGGATGATCTCCGAAGGGTTTATGGCACCTACCCACGTACCAGCGTCTCCATAACCTACAGGAAAGGGGAGTTCTTGGTGAAGGGGGACCCCAAGGTAGGAGAGCAGGAATATGCAGTGGAAAAGAAAGTTATCCAGCAGGCTGTGACCCCCAGTGCCAGTGAGGCAGATGACAGCAGTGAGGACCGGAACAGTAAGAAGAAAAAGAAACAGAGACATTGATGTAGTCCATCACCCAATGCCTCAGGGCCCTTTTGGAAACCAGTTGGCAGCTGTTCTTGGTGCAGCTGGCAAGTAGCACAAGCAATGAATGCCACCACCCCTGTTGGCTTTTAACTGCTCCCCATCCTTCACAAGCTTATGGCAACTTTACACTTTGCACAATGCCTGCCCTGTGAAGAAACCACGTGGCACTTGTCTGTCAGATCACCTCTTTGGTTGTGGCTTTGAAATGAGAGCTTGATTTCCACTGGTTGGTTGTGCGGTCACAGTCTGGTGGGGGGATCTCCAGGCAGCAGCCCTTCATCAGAAAACTTCAGCCTCTTCCTACTCCGTGCAAGGGAATGTCCTGGAAGCTGGCTCCTTTCCTGGCACTCAGTAAGATCAAAGTGGGGTTTCGTCCAGGCTCGGGACAGTGCAAGTCCCCGAGGAGAAAGGGGTTCTTGAACACTGCAAAGAGCAAATATTTGCATGTCTTGTCACTGCTGTTTATGACCATTCCATTGTACTTAATCACTGTGTAATGCCTGTACGCAACATTTCCTTACATGCTGGCAGAAGATCCTGGTGTCCCCATCCTCTTATATTTGGTAACCTGGTGCTTGGTTCTCCTGGCCATGTGTCCTTGTTGAAATCACTGCTGAGACCCTCCTCTGGGTCTCCCTCAGCTCTGGCTAGAGGTGCTGGCTGTCCAGTGAGATTTACTGGAGTTGTGAACCACAGCACTTTCACAGCTTGGTCTCTTGGAAGGGTGGACTTCAGAGTTGTGCTTGAAACCTGGAGGGCTGTGAGGGGCTGGGTCTGACTTGCAAACTTCTGTACCTTTTAAATGATTATAAATAATAAAAATTTCAAATGCAAAAGTGTTATATCCCTGGCTTTTAGCTGCCTGGCAGCTATCTCTCCTGTGAACAACCTGCAAATTGGTCTGACACCCTTTCGCAGAGTTAGGGATGGGTTTGACATGGCTCTTGCCCACCTATGGTGGGTTATTTTGCTTGCAGTGCTTGGCAGTACCCTACCTCGCCCTAGTTTGTTGCCTGACAGTTTCATCTTTGGGGACTAGTAGGGACTTTCTGGAGTGTACAGGAGAAACAGGTCTGCTCTGTCCCCTTGTAATCTCCCCCTGACATGCCATATGGGAGAAGGGCCTAATAATGCAGGAGGGAAATGTGTGCTCCTGGTCTGCAAAGCAAAGGAGAGAGCCTGTGCGGGTGAACTTAGCTCTGGAGGGTCTGAGTTGCTATAAAGTCAAAGCAAGTGGATTTTCTAAAACTAATGCAACAATTTGTCTCGTCAACTATCTGAATTTCCCCTTCACCCATCAGCTTCTTGGAAAGGGGTTAATTCTGCTGCCAGATAAAGCTGCAAGAGGGCTGAACCAGAAAAACTGCTGCAGAAACCTCAGACCAAACTGACACTGTTTAGCTGTGTTGCAAGAGTGGCTGCAAGACTTGTTGAATGGGCTGGAAAAGGCCTCCACTAATGACTGGTGGCTGATCAGCTACACCTTTAGTTATCCAGCATAGGAAAAAAGCAATTCCTGTCTCTTTATCCCCCTTGGCAAAGCAGAGCATCTTGCCCAGGTGGAGATGTGCAGTTAGATGTCCTGGTCTGCAGCTGTATTGCTGCAGCACAGCATTGCAGGGTGTTGTACTTCCTGTCCTTCTAGCAGCAGCAACTGCTCCTACAGGCAGTAGTGTTGCATCGGTAGTTTGTGCACTGGATCCTTGTCCAGGCAGTGCAGTGCTCTGCTGGGGTGCTGGAAGCAGCTTTCCCCCTGTTCTCTGTGTCTGGTTCAGGGTACAGCTTGGGCTGTCAGCTGCATGCTGTCTACCATGAGAAGGGTGTTGGGAAGGGGCTGCTTTAGCTGGGATCCTGGAGCAGATGCAAACCAGCTCTTCCAGGTGAGGTGAAGGGGAGCATGGGATCTGCCCTATGGTGATAAGCAGGTGCTATGTAACTTACCAGGACCTGCATAATCTATCCTAAAAGCCACTCCTCCAGCCAATAAATTCCTGTGCAGCTTTGCACTGTGTTACAGTAGACATCTCTGGAGCCTGTGGGTAGAGAGCAGGCACAACTCTTAGCTTTACCCATCCTTCCCTGTTTATCTTCTGCATAGCTTTGTTTGATTTTGCTGCCCGGACTCTGAACAGGAGATGGCTGGGCACACCCAGGCTGTTGTTCCGACTGTGTATTTTTAGCAGAGGCTTACAATCGCATGCAGTACATCAGGAGGTAGCAACGCATTTGTTGTCCCAAGTGCCATTTCACTTCCAGATGGAAGAAAGCATTTTGTAGTGGGGGTTGAGAGAAAGCCTGATACAAACTGCCACTGCCTTGAGTGGTTTTCCCATGGTGCCCACAACTCACCTCCATCCATACTCTGGTCTCTGTGAAGGAGCAACTCTCAGTCCCATTCTCTTCCTAGAGGATTGAGGCTCATTTGCTGCCCAGCTGCAGAACTGAATCCATAGGGCATTTTGGGAAGCTTTAACGCCTATGGAATTCAGTTCTCAGAGCCAAGCAGCCAGTGCGAGTCAGCTTCCCCTGGCCCCAGCCGGCTGTGTTCTCCATCTGCGAGGGGGGGGAAAATAGGAGAGAGCTCATCATATCTCTGATGGTGCAGGCGTTGTGCTGACACAGGCTTTTACAGCTGCGAGCCGCTGCAAGGAGAGGGCTGCGCAGCCATGGCTTTCCTTGGAAACTTTGCTCAAGTTGGCTGCCAGTTTTTCCACTGCTTCCATGTATCGTCCTATCATTGGGAGCCGCTGCAAAGCTTCAGGTCAGCCCTGAGCTCTGTAAACCTGCTGGAGCTGGAAGAGAAATACCATTTCTCCCAGTTTGGGCTGATATTCATTGATGCATTGGGAGTCCCATCTACAGATTTGCTCTGTGCACTGCAGTAAAACATCCCTTAGCCTAAACTTCTCTCCTTCCACATGTGTATCTGAGAAAGGGGTGCAGCTGTATGGGGTGGAATGCTCAGCCCTGTGGGAGCATCCCAGTGCTTCCAGGCACTGTCCCTCTGCTCCATTCATGCTGAAACCAGTGCTCATAGGAGCCCCTTGAACTGGGAGGCAGCAGCTGATAGATGGAAGTGGTTTGTGCAGCTCATGATACAATGGGTGGTGCACAAGGTGCACTGAAGCATCTCTGTGTGGGTCTGGGAAAGGACAGAGGGCAATTCTGCTGCTTAAAATGAACCCACAAAAGGCCTTTTCCAGGCAGCTCGGGGAATGGATCCAGGGAGGGATCAGTCTCAGGCTGGTGTATCCCACAATTATGCATGTGCCCTTTGCTGCCCGCTGCCCCCATGCACTGGTTTGGGCTGCAGAGTTCAGGTGCATGGAGGGGTGGACTCAGGGGACACACGGGAACTCCCATGAGCAGCCACAGAGGTGCTGTGACAGATTTGAGCGGCCTCAGTCCTCAGCAGATGTTCATTTCCATAGAATCCCAGACTGGTTTGGGCTGGAAGGGACCTTAAAGCTCATCCAGTTCCAACCCCCTGCCACGGGCAGGGACATCTTCAACTGAACAAGGTTGCTTCAAGCCCCGTCCAGCAGGGTGTTGAACACTGCCAGGAATGGGGCAGCCACAGCTTCTCCAGGCATCCTATACCAGCACCTCAGCACTCTCACGGTAAGGAATTTTTTCCCAGTGTCTAATCCGAATCTCCCCTCTGTTAGCTTTAAGCCATTCCCCCGGGGATGGAGCTGATAGCTGGAAGGCAGGGAGAGGCCTTTTTTTGGCTTGGCAATAGTTGGAACACAGTTGTGACTGCAGAGGCTCAGAGTGGCTTCGGCAGGAGTAACTGCTGGGAGAGGGTTACAGCCCTTTGCCTTCAGGCTGACAGTGCAGGAGGAGAGCCCTTGGGTCTGATGGATCAGCAGAAGAGACGGGAAATGACACACTGGAGCACGGGCAGAAACTGCGATGGGGGAAGCACCGAGCAACTGTCGGTGCGAGGAGCTCGCTCCAGGATTGCTCAACCGCTGGCCTGGGGCTCTATTTTAATCCATCTGCAGGGAATCCGAGTTCAGCTGGGGCAGCGTGAACTCACCATCCCGACGGGTGTCCCAGGGGAGCCAAACCCCATTGCAGAAGCTGTGGGGTCCCAGGCTGCAGGTCCCAGCACACCCTGGGGACCACAGGCAGCAGTGAAAGGAGATGGGTTGAAGCAGAGCCTGACAACAGCATCCCCCCACCCTGCAGCCAGTGGTTGGGGTCAGGACTGGCTGCGCACGGTGCTGTTTCTCAGTGGTGGGTCAGAGGGGTTTCAATAACTCTGAGCCTTCCCCCCCCACACCTTTTACCCTGCTCTGCAGGCAGGCACCAGTGCAAGGGAGCAGGGCAGGAGCCTGCCAGAGGTGCTACAGATGGTTGGGATCAGCTTGTGATGGGTGGTAGGGAATGGGATGCTTTGGGCTGCTCCTTGGCCATGGGGTGGTCACCCGGCAGTTGCTGAGTGTTTAAACACATGAAAAGTCTTTGTGCTTCAAGTTTTAAGCTGTAAAACTCCTCTCTGAGGCATTTACCACCAAAGGGTTGAAGGATTGATGCTGTTCAAAGTGCCAGCCACCCACCTTCCGGCCTTAGCTTCCAGGAGCCAAAAGGTGAAGGTGAGGGGAAAGCCTTCCTACCCATCCTCCTCCATAGGCTGATTTGCAAAGAAAGAGGAAGGGTTTCAGGGTGAGCAGGATGGGGGGCAACTGTGACAAGCCCTCCTGATGGTGCTTCAGGAGTCATCCTTTTCCTCTGCTCTGTGGCCCCACGGAGGTGAAGTGGATATTGGGGCACTGTGGGACAGCTCAATGGCTGCCTTGCATGTGTCCCACCATGCCCAGTGCCCCTGCCCTCCCATCTTGGGGCAGGGACAGCTCCAGCAGCTACTGCTGGCATCCTGCCCATGGGTGCTGGGGCACCCCATTGCCAAAAGACTGTTCGACCCAGCTGCAATGGGAAGCCCATGGGGGCCAAGCTGGGAAAGGAGGGGTTGAAATGCAAACTCAGACAAGCTCCAGCTCTTTCCTTTCACTCCTGGCTGTTCCTGCAAGCAACGTCCCCACCACATGGCATCCACAGCACCCCTGTGACCAAGAGGCCACAGGCAAGGGGAGCAACATGGGCACAGCACCACAGGCAGCCATAGGGTGAAGGAGGCTGCCACCCCCCTCTAGGGGTGCTGGGGTCCCACTCAGTGGGAAAGGGACCGCTCTACCCAACCTCCCGCTTCCAGACCCACCCCTTTTCTTGAGAGCGGCTGCTTCCATGGTGGTTCTGGGATGCTCGTGTATGTCTGTACGCATTGCATGTGCCAGGCACACTTCTGGGCTCTGCCTTCTCTCTTTGGTGTTCCCATCTCCAGCTTTGCCCCACGTTCCTGCAGCCAGGCAGGGCCAGGGGGTATCCCTAGCCCTGTTCTGCTCTGGCGCAGGGTGCTGGGTAACACCAGGGTGAATGGAGATCGAACCCATCTGGGTGCTGGCTGTTTTGTTGGTGTGGAGGTGCCCAGACCTGGCTCAACCCCACATTGTTTGAGGAGGTGTCGGGATGCAGCACTCATCTATGGGTTGACCATGGGGCGAGCCCGCTGCCCCAGCACAGTGCTGGGGAGGATTGCATCAGCCCAGCTGCTGTTGTGAAGGTGGGAGTTTCATAGCCCCGCTGTGATTTGCCTTCCCTTAGCACCCTGCGCTGCTGATACCCTCCTCTCTGCCTGGCTTGGAGCATGAGGGGTGCCCACGTTAGTTCTGGTACACATCCCCTTCTGTGGCTGCCTGTACAAGGCTTGTCTTGCCACTGGGACAGGTCTGGATTTAGGATCTTGATGCTGACCCCAGCAGCCAGGTGCTGG